GTTGACCCCGTACGTGAACATTTAAACATTTTTCCGATCGTGATTTTTTTTTGTATTCCATAAGATATCTGTTTAAAAGGTGGCTCGACTAAGCGACCCTTCGAACTGGAACGCACAATTGTGACGCGGAAAATTGATTATATTTCGAGGGTTTGATCTTTATTGCATAATATTTTTATCAATCGTTGCTATTCTTTTATCGTGGAGGTGGTTCGCGGACACATATTAGGTTAGTGTTCCTTAAAAAAATGATAGCTGTTTGCGGGGATGGAAGATTAGCATAATTGCATATCTTTATATAAGAACACCGTACGAACTTTCCTTTGGGCTAGATGGATTTTTCAGTGTATTTCTTCACTTATAAAAAAGTCACAAAAACTATAAAGTTTTCGAAACGTCAGAAATAATATAATGACTGTAAAAAAACGCGATTTTAAACCGTAAAAGTAGTTTTAAATAATTAAAAAATATTTGAAAGTAATGAGATTTGTAGATCGTAAGGCTAATGGAAGGATTCAATGGACAAAATTCAAGAATAATGTGCCATAAACTCACATAGATGTCTAAAATTACATTTAAATAATATTTTACTGATGAAATAAACAAAACCCTCTCGAATTGGGGAGGTGGGACTAATTTAAAACGCTACGCATCGCCATAATAAAACGGCGCTATTATGAACTCGAAGGGTTCGTGTACGAAAAACATACTGTACCGGCGAGACGTACCAATTTTACGTTAATGGCATAAACAATAAAGTCGATGCTATTTCCTACGTCAACTTCAAAATTGTATAAATTGTAATCGTTATACGCGGCTTCACTTAAATTTTGTTTTTTGCCAAGCAAATAATCATGAGTGGTAGGTAAATTTACAAAATTACACATGGCGATAACCATGACCTATTTATTCAATATTTATATTCATAACAGTTTCGATGTTTTTAGTATAAAAAAAGAACGTTAATGGTGTATGGCGACATTGCCACCAGTCTAAGAAATGATTGCTTAGTCTATGACCAAACCACACACGCATTCAAGACAGATAGACCCTAAGTGTATAATCTATGGATAGACCACTGAAGTATAAAACCTATCTATGAGATAGACTGACATATAGACAGATATAGAATTTTGAGGTCATTTTTCTACAGTTGATAGGTACATATTCCACATATTTAGAACACTGATTCAGAATATATTAAGTGTATAATCTATGTTCAGAATTATATCACCAATCCTGTGAAACTACATAATCCCGTGATAATTGTGGTGTTTCAATATAGAATTAAAAGTATAATAGCCGGCAAACTTCTTGAGCATTTGTCGACGTAGTGGGGGTAAGTTCGCGCATGGTACACTCACGTGCAAAAACATTATTTACTCTGCGTCATAATGCTATTAAATTATTAAAATCAACATATTATGTTTTTATTTATATATTTATTAGAACATCGATTTCAGCAAAAAATGAAACAATATTTGGCCTTGTAGGTATCAGGTTATGATAGGCCAGTCGGATTTCTTAAAATAAATAATTCATTCCATTATAATTTTTTTTTTCCTACCTAAGCTGATAGCCTTTAGAGGCTATTTCAGCGTAACTGTGGCTAGTAGGTGAGCTCACGGGGCTCAAACCTGATGACGTTGCTAACACGAACCCTAGCAAGAGCCGTGCTTCGCAGAATCTACCACCGGATCGGAAACGCGACCCACTGAGAAGATCCGGCGAGAAACTCAGTGGGCTGTGTCTGAGAGTTAATTTACTCGTCGAGCCCTTCGTCGCAAGCGACGGGTTCGACGAGAACGGTGACCGGTGCTTGAAATACCTAAAAGCACCGTTAGTGGATCGGGAGGATCCGAGATGACGTGTTTTGGGCGACGTCGACTGCTTTCCATTCTGCCCGCAGGATCGGGAATGTAGTTACCGGCGGCCACGACGAGAGGGTTCTCGTGTCGTGCCGCTTTATCGAAGTGGTCCATTATAATAAAAATCGAGGCATGTTATCAGAATATTAATAATTAAATTCTAAGCGATAACAAAGTGAAAAACACTCCTCAGTTGAATTTTACTGTAATGAAATAAAAAACAAAATGTAGATGATTGAATTTCCTGTAAATAATATACATATTCAAATATTTCCTTACGAAACCTACGGCACGAGGAGGTTACTCGTTTTCTTACATTATTGAGCACTTAAATTGTTACTAGGCTAAGCAATCGCGGTCTTCGCTGAAAACGGCAATACGATTTTAAAGGCCAGATACGCCGTATAATAAACACAGAATCTTCATACAGCGCTTCGTATCCAATTCTGTTTCATAGCCAATAACAGCGATGCAGAAGACTGTGAATGCTTTAACAATAAACAGGAGTGAGAAGATGAAATTGAATCGTGTCAGATAGCGGCGGATGATTTCAAAAAGCTTTCTCGAAAATTTGATTCTAAACGTATCAAAGAATCAGTTTGGTTTTTAATGGTTTTGATTTGTATATTGTCGTACAGTAACAATGGTCTTTTACGTGATACTTTTATGTACTTATCGAAGCTTTGAGATAGCAAGAGAATTATTAGCATGTAATAAATGAATGTTAGAAGTAATCGTGGCCCAAAAGGATAACACGCCCGGTACATTCATATTGAGCGATGCGACTGAACTGGTGTTCGAATCCCGCACCAAATTTTCTGATAATAAAATACGTACCTACTTAACAAATGTTCACGATTGACTTCAACAGTGATGGAAACATAATGTGTAATAAAAACAAACCCGCAAAAATGATAATTTACGTAATTATTGTTGAGAGGCCATGTTGTGAGAGACGGATAAGAACCGCCACCCTGCCTATTTCTGCCGTGAAGCGTTTCGGCTTGAAGAGTTGGGCAGCCGTTGTACTATAAAAATTGAGACTTAGAACTCCTATCTCTAGGTGAGTGGCGCCATTAACGTAGATTATGTCTATGAACCCGGGTAACCACCTAACCCCAGGTGGGGCCGTAAGCTCGTTCATCTATCAATTGAAAAAAAAAAAACATTGAAATTAAAAAGGGATGGTTTATTTCGCGTAGATTATTCTCAGCTTATTAATTCCGATGTATCGATGTAGGTACCTACCGACTCTCAGTGCAGTGACACGAAAATTAATAAAGTCGAAACGACTAAAATAAATAAAAGCGACATTGATTCGTCAGATAATTTTAAATATGTCTACCACTTGTGTAACCTCAATAAAATATTACGAAATAATGTTGGCTAGTAGTAATCTTTATTAATTTCACACCATTTATGTAGGTGCCTAGCTGCAAAATAAAATGACTTATACAATGATAATATTGTAAATCATAATTATTAGTACATAACACGGTAAATTGTACATTAAGAAATTATTAGTGGTCACGTGTTTTTCCAGAAAATTAGGTGCCCATTTGTAATTCATTCGGTCCAATTGACCTTACCTTCTGCGCTCGTCGAACTGAGATAATACAGTGGCATTGAACACTGCACGGGCAAGTAAACAATACATTTACTATTGTTAGTTAGGCGTAAAGTTCTGAATTATTCATGGTTGTTTTGAAGGTCGTAAAACCCCTCAGGTCCCAAGTCCTTCAACTTAATAACCGAAGAGATAGGCCTATATTTTTGCTATAGGTATGTATGTATAGACACTTTACAAGAGACTAAACTTCAAAACAAGAAAACATAATATGCGAATTGCAGGATTAAAATGGGAATCATTAAAAATGCAACTGGGGATGTTTCTACGTACCATCATGTGCATTATTGCAAAGAAACTAAATATTTATGAATACCGCAATGAAATCGGGGTCGAAGTCGCAATGATTAATGGTATCGTCATACTAGTTCTAAAGTCTATCCTTGTAAGTCTACCCTTCACAAACGGAGTGCTTCACGGCACAAAATTAAATATGTATACCTACAAGATGGTGGAATATATGTACCCTTTTTGGGTCATATTAAATATTTACAAAAATGGTATCTTTAATAAGAATTAAAAGATTTCTTAAATATCATTTTTATTTTAATCATTATAGTTCATTACGCACAGTATGTTGATTTTTGATAAAATAGTTGGGCTCTGAAGTACTTAAGGCCATATAATTCGAAAATGGAGTGTAATTAAATTTATTTTGATAACAAGAGAATCGTGCGAGATAGTTACTTGTTGAAGAAATTTACAAATTCTAAAGACGTGAAGAAAGTGTTTTAATGTTATATCAGGTATCTACAATACAAATTGTATTAGGTATTGTTTTCTATGACCTAACAATTATAAAATTTCATTTTAATTTAAGATCTGATTTTTGCCTACATAATCGTTGGTAGCTTATGAGTAGTTATGAGGCTATTCCAATAGTCCAACTCCGCACGGACCGGTTTTTCACAAAGCTAGATAATTAGTGAAATGAAATCATTCCTTCATCGTGCAAATCGTTCATAACTCTTGTTAGGTACATATTTTATAAAAACTGAAATACGAAGAGGGGTAAAGCTCGCGGCCTGAGGGTTCTGGGTCCAAATTAAGGCTCTTCATATACAAGGCTGCGCAAGCTTCCAAAACTTATTGTGGTTCATGTATGTATATAAAAAAATTAATACAGTACAACTTACACAAAATAAGTGATACAAGCAAAAAATTGCTACGCCGCGCCGCGCGCCGTTTGGTGGGTTTGTTTTATTTTGTTAATTTAGTATTTATTCAAATACAAATTTGTAATAACGAAGGCGTATTAATCATATGGCATATATGAAAATGCATTAGTACCTCAATAAATGCCAAAAATTTACTCAGAGGCTATTTTATGTCTTCTAACATCTGTGTTGTCTTATCTCACTTCTGTATAAACTGATAGTATGAGCAAGGTCTCTTTTGCCTGTCTGAATGGAGAAAAAAACTAAGTTGACATTTAATTTTGACAGTTCCAAAAAAAACAATCAAAATTGGAAAAAGTACTTATTCACAGAACAATTATGTACTGCAAAAGAATTTTATTTCATTGATTATTACTTACAGAAATATAATAAATATCAAAGTCCTTTTACGTAACCATAATGAGTTTTGTATCGCCAATAAATTTCTTCGTTATTCACACCAAAAAGTCCCTAAAAGTCTCGTATTCGTTTGTGACAACTTTTTTAAATACCAAAACAGACCGAGCTTAGTTAATTCACAGACATAAAACTGTTGACATTACTTAGTGTCCCAAGATTGTTATAAAAATATCTAAATATATTCAGTAGTGCACATAGAAAGAAATTAGGGTACTAACACTTGTATATTATATTAAAATCTAACTATTTTCAGTTTTTTTCACCTGCTGAGTTACTGATATTTAACTTAAAAATAAAATATATAAAAATGTTTAAAGCAATTAAAATGCAATAGATCCGTTATTTAGATAATTAACAATCTAAGAGCACCGATACTAGTGTTTGATAATGTGGTAACATACATACAAAATGGTACGAAGACAACGAGAACAAAGCACTACAGAGGATGAAATCGTCATTGGTAATTATTTTTTTAATACATTTCTGTTTATTTTTCATATTGCAAAATACATTCAGAAAATGGTTTTTAATTTCAGATACACCACCTTCTAAAAAACTTAAGAAGCACAGGCACAAAAAGCACAAGAGAAGAAAGCTACAAGATGAGTTTGATAGTGACACTTCCATCGATGTATCATATGAAGATAATTTGGATAAACCCTATAAAATAAAATTAAAAGGTGGGAGAGAGTTGCCTGGAACATCAGCTGCCGATCTCCTCAAAGCACAAACAATGAAATCTGTACCAGATTCAAGGCGATCTTTGCCTGGATCTTCCTCAAGTACTCCTCCTAAAGTAACTTCTAAAAAAAAGAAAAAGGGACGGGAAAGTGGAACTTCTAGCGAAGAAGAAAGATGGCTGGATGCCATAAAGTCTGGAAAACTTGAGGAGGTTGTTTAACTCAGTAATGTGTGAATTAAATGTCATCCTGTTAATAACTCCGTTCTTAGGCCTACTTTGGCTTGTCTAGTGTATATATTTTTTCATGCAAGCTATTATCTTAACTGGCCTCTTTAAAATGAACTGGCTTTCAGTTCTCGAAACTGTAAGTCAGTTAGCATCTTTGTTTTTGGAAATTAGGATGGAAAATTTAATATATGTACTTGAAATTTTATATATACATAAGGGCTATAATCAAGTTATTTGTCAAAGTATATATGAATTTATTATATTTAAAATTGCTCCTATCTGTGTATGGCTTTCTCAGTGTGAAAGCCTTCTCCACTCACCTTGTGTTGTCCAATGAGCAGTGTGTACTAAATCTTAAAGATTCCGATTAACTTTTCACTATGTCTGCAAATGTTAAATGACATAAATGAGTGTCAATTTATTCTTCTTTGACCAACTTACTTCCGAATTTGTATTGCAAAACACAGCTTTAAAAAGTTATTACTATTATTACTTATTTGACATCTCAGACAATTTTCATCTTGTTGCTGCTCTTTTCAAGTATTATTTTCTAACTTTATTGTAAATATGTTTGAGCGTGTTATATATTTAAATATTAGCAGACTGAGTAATTTGAGTACTTAATTTGGCATAATCAATTATACTATTATTAGAGTAGTATTATGACTGATGAAATCAAAAGCTTTATTACAAGATTCAGGTTGTCTTCAGTTGCATAGTTGCAATAAACTTAAATAGGGTAATATAAAATATAATACACAATATTAATGAAAAATGTTATTGGAATTATTCTAATGTGTTATCATTGTTAGGTTGATGAGGAACTAAAGAAGATAAAACCTAAAGATCCTAAAATGATGACAGCAAGGCAAAGGGCCATGTATGAGAGGGGAACAGATAAAGAAACCAGCCCTGGAGGTGAAGTACTACTCGCCCTTCCCTCAGGTTACAAAGAGAAAGTAATGACAGCAGAAGCAATTCAGAAAGCTGCACTAAAATCACAAAAGCGCAAACAACTTGCTGATGAAAAACGTGAGAAAGACAAAAAGAAAACAATGGACAGACTTCTTAAAAAACAAGATTCTAAAAACATAAAAAATATGCATAAGGGTAAACCCATCAAAAAACAGGAGCCCATGATTGTTTATAAAAATAATATCAATGAAATTTCCTTGGCTCTGCCCATTGGTATTGAATTCCCATTGGCTGTGAAACCTCCAATAGCAGCACCAAAACCAATTATCTGTGGAGCTGATGGATGTGTTAATTTAAAAAAATATAATTGTTCTAAAACTAGCATACCTCTGTGTAGTTTAGAATGTTATAAAAAGAATTTGAAAAAATAAACAAAAATGTACTTTTAATAATGGAAGTGTGTTTACGTGTAATGATATTTTGTTTCAAAATAATCTGGCTGCCTTCACTATGGTGATTGGTGACTGTAAAATATGTATGGCAGTTGTATTAATTATGCATCTCTTTAAAATTAAAATAAAACAAAAAGTTATAGTGAGCTAGACAGTGAGCATATATTTTGAAAAAAGTAAAATGTAAGTTTTTTTATAGTTCATCATTCATCATCAATTGCATAGATTAGTCTTAATAAAATTATAACTATAAACCCAGTGTCACTGTGACTAAACACGCTCTAAGTAACAAGTTCACATTTACACAGCACAATGGAATTTTTTAATACTAAAGTAACATAGCCTCTCAACATTCCTGACACTAAGTCATAGGTACAAACTCGACACAAATAATATGCCAGGCTGCATAGGTGCAAGACTTTCCATTCGTAACAAAACATTTGCTGTATTCGTAATTTTTTATTGAATTTTGAGTAAAATTTTACCATGTACCTGACTTCATGTACCTATACCATCTTGATCTCCACCAGCATTATCAGACTACACAATAGAATTGAAGACATAAGACTAGACATTAATTCAACTACTTTGTCATACTTGTCTTTGTTCACATTACTTACAACTTATTAAGTGTAATGACCATAAAATTACACAAAGTTCATGCATAAAGGGCTACTAACATATGAATTATGTACACAGTATACACAAAAATTCATTAAGCACAGTTACACATTAAAGTTTGCTAATTTTATAATTTTTTTTTATACATTGATTATATATTGTATTTTAACAAAGAATAGTTTGAGTGATATTTTTGAGAATATAAATTACATAATAGCTAAATACTCTTTTGATTAATATTTAACATTGAACAATTGAATCTTTACTTTTTTTTTCACTAACATCAATTTGGCAATACTTGAGCTATCAGTATATTTTTGAGGACAAACACTAATAGAGACAGTACACGGAATAAGTATAGTTAAGTTTCTAAGAGAGTTTTTAAATATAGAAGTTTAAAGTCAGTGCATACTACATCATCACACATCTTAAAACAACTGCAAGTATTTAATTACTAGAACTTTTTAAACATTTAGTCACCAACACTTGAAGACACAGTAATATAGTGAAAAATCCCTACTCAAGTGTCACTTTGTTTTCACAAATCTTGGGTGCCTTTTTGTTATACCCACTTTTCACTGTCACATTATTTAGAGAGCTCAAAAAGGGAAACCCAGAGACAAGAATGAGGCTCAAAACAGTCTACAGACCGAAGCAGGGCAGCCAACAGAGTGGCGGAAAACAGCCAGCTTCATATCAAACATTTGTTCGTTTTGAGCTGCGAAGGCGTGCCAGGCCTGACTGTAACCGCTAAGATTGATTATTCTGCTTATTTGATCTAAGTCGGGCAAGGCCAGATCGCTCTTCCTCCTCATCACTAGTGCAAGACAATCCCCCAACAGCACCTCGTGATGAAGTAGCTTGAATTAAATCTTGATCAGGGCCATTACGACTTTCATAAAGTAAAATTCCCAGTGTTTCCTCATATATCCTGGCCTCCGGAAACTCAACCTTAGTATGCTTTTTATCTGTAGCATACACAATTGAAGTGCAGCAGACTTCAGCACATTTTTTTCCATGTCCAAAGAAAGACCAACAACAAATCTCATTAGAACCAATAACATCTTTAATAAACAGCACTCTCCCGCTGAATCGCAGCGAAAGTTTGTCAAAGAGTTCAATGTTCTTTAGTAAGTTATCATCAGAAGTGCTCGTGTAAGAATACTTGTTATTGTGTCTGTTAATCAACAGTTTCACCACAGGCTGCAAACAAGAATAATATATGACAAATGAACAGAGTAAATTTAAACATGGCAAGAATATATTTAGTTTAAAAATGTATTCAATTCTAACCTTGGAAGTGGACATAATTAAAAGTTGTTCTTCCTTTTGTGAAGTAATTAAAGGAACTCTGCAAATTGGCTCTGCCTCGCGTTCTTTTTTGGCTAAGGCCTGTAGGCAAGATTCAGTTAACTCTTCAATCAGGAAATATTTAGCCTCCGCCAATAACTCCATGATCTCTTTATAACTGTCGGGTAGCGCTACTGTGCCGTCACGAAGATAATTCAAAATAGTACCGAAATGCTTCCCACAACGATCAATCAAAATCCACCCTAAAAAAGAAAATTAAAGTTTTTTTTTATTAGTATTGGTATAATTTACAGCGGATCGATAAAGTGGGTAAAATTGGTGAATTTTAAAATAAAAATTTAGTACCTTCCGAATCTGTGAGAACCTCCATCCTCCCACTAAACATGGTTCGCAACATGTTATCGCTTTTCGTAAGCGTGCCGATAGTAGTGTAGAACAATGTGCCGCCCACATTTAACTTCACATATTGTGACGGACTGCCTTTTAACAACGTTTTGTGATCTCCCGACATTATTTCAAAACGAAGAAATAACATCAACGCGATAATACGAAACGACCAGTACACCCGGACTCTCAACTATTTTCTTGTTCCAAATGTACCTATACTACATTTTGTGCAGTTTCAATACCATAGAGTAGGGTCATTTAAATTATGAACTGCAGAAATGAGCATTAGCGCTGGATTATTAGTTAATCCAACATTCGATTGCAATTAGACAAGCTACGGATATTCAAGAGATTTTGTGTAGTTTGATAGAATTGATTTTGGAGTAGTAGATCTATTTTTTCAACTGGAAAGGCCAAGATATCATATATACATACAGCCTAATCTTTTGTATTTTATATTTTCTGAAAAATGATATGGAGCAAAATGAAAGAAATGCTTTAATTTAATTTTTTAAAACAAAATTCGTCTAAAGGAATAAAACGAAATGAAAACGAAAGAAATATAGTCTAGTGAAATGGTGGTTATTTATTAAGACTTTTTCAGTGGACTTTTTGGAAGATCCCCAGAAGCTACGTCCAGGAGCTTTGTTATATTTTTCCACATTTGTGCACTCTCCCAAATACTATACAGTCAATTAAATTACCATTATTACACATTTAAACTCAAAGAAACACTGAATTAACAAAATGGAACAATCCGCTCAACGTCGCTCCTCGCGTTCACGCTAAAAAATTCTCCGTATTTTAGGTGTCCATTATCGGTACATCATGGACAATGTTCTAAATAGTTGACCAGCCCCAAGGTGTAAAGTTATTTAGAGCAAAATACCGCCCAATGAATCCGATTTTATGGCAAATCTATTTGAAATAGGGAGCTCTGAGATTTAGCCCGTAACTACGTTATTTTGTACTTATTAATATAATAACAGGCTAATAGATATGTGCGTATACTATACAATAATAGTAACAATTTTTTATTGCTCAGATGGGTGCACGAGTCCACGACACACGGCCCACATGTTAAGTGGTTACCTTAATTCTTAGAAAATAACAATGCCAATGCATCACAGCGACAGTGAAAAGTCCAATTCATCACGCTCAATTCGATTATTTAACAAATTAGGTCTAAGAACAAAAACAACAAATTATGATAATTCTTTAATCTTAATAAAACTACTACTACATACTTAAAAGAAAATTAAGTTTTTGCTTTTGCAACTATATGGCTGCAGACAATTTTTTTTATTTTATCTCCTATATCACACACAATTTCTTGACAAGATACAATTAATTGTCATGAACATGCTCACGGTTCACCTCGTACCAGAGGCTGTTTACATCATAATCAGGACAGCGCCACGCACCTCTAGACAAGCACACGAAACACACTATGAAAACTGGATTTAATCAAACAGACGTCTTAACAACAAAATGGAGAAAGATTCTACGAATTTAAGCGGATCGTTACAACCGAAAAATTATGTACATAGAACATTAATAAAAAACTATAATAACTGTATAATATTATATAAAAAGAACATAATAATATCGAGGGGTGAAAGGATATTTGGTTTAAGCGAAATTTCGTTTAATACGTGACATTTATCTTTGTACTTAAAGATCCGTTTTATTTAGTATTAGTATCAACATGATACATGGATGATCATGAATGGTGACGTTTATTGTTAGACCCACATCGGGGTCATAGCGCCAGCGCAGTAGTAGTAAGTACTATCAACAATTCGATGTTTTAATTGAACTTTTCAATTATGTTTACCACATCCAAATAGCTTATGAAGTTTTTTGTCATGATATTTTTTCCAAAATTTAAACTTTAAATGGCTCTCCTGTACAGCTTCAAAAATGACGCTTAAACAAAAAAAATGTGTGCGTGTACTAGTGTACACACGTAAGAAGTGAAACTTATTTATGGCCTTATTTTTCGAAAAATGATCTACATGCAACTTTCTAGAAATTGGTTAAATAAAGTTAAATTAGATAAAGTTTAAACAAAAGGATTTTATTATCATAGACATGAATACAAAAAAGTTAAATTAGATAAAGTTTAAACAAAAGGATTTTATTATCATAGACATGAATACAAAAAAGTTAAATTAGATAAAGTTTAAACAAAAGGATTTTATTATCATAGACATGAATACAAAACAGATGGCGCGTAACGGAAAAATGTGACGCGTAACCGAAAAATGTGACGGTAAATTTTTTTCCAACGCCGATAAGGAAGTTTCACTTCAAAAAAATAGCCTTTTCCTCATCGAAATAGATGTAATACATTACAGAATAAAACTATAATAACTGTATTAACTATGAATAAGTTCGAACAGTGTGCCAAATTTAACAAATGAATCGGAAACTTTTTGGCGGGAACGCGAGGAGGCGAAGTTAAGTGAATTGTTTTGTTAACTTATTGTTTCTTCAGGTTTGAATATTATGTAATAAAGACAGCTTAGTAACTGTTTACGGTCTGTGAAAGTGCACAAATTAGGAGAAATGAAACAAAGCCGCTGGATGTAGCTTCTTGGGTTCTTCCAAAAAGTCCATTGATAAAGTTTCAGCAAATTCCCTCCATTTTACTGGGATAATATTTCGATATTTTTCAAATTATTTAACAGAGTATTTAGGTAGGTCGAGGGTTTATCAAGAGATAGTTAACTATGAGATCGAGTTTATCTATTGAGAATTTAACAAGCTCGACGCTAGAAACAACGCCGTACTAAAAAACCTATTGCCTTACTGAAAAATCTAAGAAAAAGAAAATTCTTCAGTTTGCGGTTGGCTACTACTTAAATTTTCTTTACTACAAATTTATTTTTTCTTTTCGACACATTCTAGTTTTTTATGCGGCTTCAGGTAATTCAAATTGGATGTCTCCTGCGAGCTACTGTCTCTGGTAGGCCTAAGCCTGACATCAATCCTATTATTGAGAACAGGCTTAGGATGGCTGAAGACCAAAAGGATCCGTGTTTATGTCCCTAAAAATCGTATGATAATTAAAGTTGTGTTGTGTCCGCCTTGAACAGCGTGAACCCAACTTTTCCAGTGTAAAGAGTGACTATGAAATTTACTAGAGATTGGGCAGCAGCGTCCTCTGAGTATTACACAATTATTGCGATAAAAATCAACCGGTATTTACTGGTGATAGGCTTATTGTAGGCGCGTTTGCATAAGTACCACTATTTTGCCGCGAAGCCGTTATTCGTTCCACTTTGAAGAGTCAAAAAGACAAACAGCCGTTACACATTATTGAGACTTTGACATCTTGACTTATGGTGCATGGTGGTATTTACATTGTGATATTCATAGACTCCAGTATTGCCATGTAAGTCGAGCATTCGTTCCTATCTATTTAATTAATGGTTTATTATATATAGAAATTTGCGTTCAGTTGTACATAATATCTAGTCAAAACTTACCAATAAAAGTACATAGGGAGCAATCGCTGCCGCTATTCCAGAAATCAAATTGCCCAAAGCCATTCCAGACTGACGCATGGCAGTAGGATAAATTTCCATATTAAGTAGATTGATAATGTAGTAAGATATAGTTATAGAGTATCTATTTAAAACCTGTACGAATATCCAAATCCATTCGACATCTGGCCACATGACAAAATCTGAAACAAAAATAATAATATCAAAGTTATCCTGGAAAAACGCCCCATTGAGCTATTTATTAAGTGTATTAATATCTATAATATTGAAGTCTATAAGTCTGCAGATTGAACGTCTATCCGCAAGCTTGTAGTAATTATTCTCAGTTACCTATTTTAAGTTTGGCGAAAAGGTCTAATTTACATGCTTGGTGTACTTCACATACTTTCGAATTTTACAATTTATAAGCAATCCATACCGACTTTTACAAGTGATTTTGATTGCATTAATATAGAAAAAAAAATCCCTGAAGGATGGTACTTTATTTCCAGATAAAAGGTACTTCATGTATTTTTTAAGCTCAAAACAACGTGTATACAAATTTCAAGATGAACCATTCGGTACTTAAGCAATTGAGTCGGTAAAGCATAATAAACAAACTCGCTTTTATAATATTAGTGTGGATAAATTGTATGAACCGTATTTCAAAGGGAATCGAAATGCGAAAATATCTGTCTGTCGCGCTTTCACGCCAAAACTACTCAACTGATTTAAATGAAATTTAGTACACAGATAGTTTAGTCTGAGAAAGGACATAGGTTAATTTTTAATGCGGAAAAAGGTTGTAAAGGGTTGAAAGGGGAGATGAAAAGTTTTAGAGCTAAACCTTGAAACAATTTTTTTAAGCTGTGGGTTCCATATAAATAAATATGACACTAAACTTATACATCAGAATAACACACAGGCTATAATTTATAAAAATATAGTGTGAGTTACCCAAAATATAAAGATAAGTGTCAAGTACGAAGGAAAAAATCTGCCATCTGCGAGCTATTTTTGCGTGCGCCGTCCGCAAAAACCGTTGGAGCTACACGTATTTAATGTAAAATGGAAATATTTATCTCAAATAGTCCTACAAAAAAGCCCGTGACAGCAGCTTTTATTGGTAAGCCGTTATCGCCAAAATAGTGAACAATTATTAAAAGAAGGGGAAAAATTAGATTTTTTGTTTGTTCTTTTTTTATTGTGTTTGTTACTGTCAGAACCAGATTTGAAAGAATGAATTACAGTTTCCGAAGCGAAGCGGGGGCGGATCGCTAGTTATTTTTTAAGGACGAATACCTATCGATGTTCAGTTATTTTCATTTCTTTAACAATACAATAAATTATTGGGCAATACATATTTCTAAAAACCAACCTTTGAAACCAATTATGACCCATGCAACAGACGACACACCAAATGAAACCACACAGGTATACCGACGACCTATATTATCGGCTAACCAAGCTCCTGAAAAGTGCCCTGGTATTTCAGCAAGTGACTGAAAAGCAAAATCTAAAAAAGGATTTGTTTGTGAGCTTTCTCCTGAACTTAAAAAGCTGACGGTGTAACTTAATGTGACTGATACCCTAAAACAATATTAAAAGGTAAAATCTGTAATTTGTAGGGCCGCTTTAACGAATTTCTGTTTCAGAAAAACACCAATAAAGTCTTATAGGTACCATATAAAAAGCTGTAAAATCGTAACAAGGGCTAATTCCTTGTTGGAAAAAAGAAGAAGGAATCCAAATTGTTTTTCGGTGTGTTCTTCGTGCGATGCTGAGATCAATTGTTTTGTTTGGCTGCTCAACGCAGTGCGATTGTCTTTCGCTATTTGCTCTAAAATGTTCTCACACTCTTTGTTTCTTTGATTTATCCACAACCATTGCGGAGATTCGATCATCTTCCTGTAATAATAAAAATATTACAATGTTCTTTAAAAATCAAAAAGTATGTCTAGTACTATTTTTTAAAGTAGTATCCCCGGTTTTCGAGGGTCGTAGACATTTAAAAAAAACTTTTCGGCTTAATCTCGCGTTTATTCAGGTCTGGTCCTGGACAACGAAAATTGTGATATGAGTATTCGATACGTTGGAAATATGATTGTAAAATAAAAATAGTAAACATTTGATTAACGCCTTGACTGCCGTGTAGGTCACCGGTCCCCTACGTGGCGCACTGAAGTAATTATGTCGATTTCTGTCACTAAGCGCCTCGATTGCCTAACTTTTCTTTCTTTTATTTTTTAATGTATGTTTTAGTCTTTTAGGTCTCTTAGAAATAGATTCATTCTCAGTATCTTCGGTTTCATCTTTCCCAGTGTCTACTAGATATTCCGGCGTCTTAATAAGAACGTCGAAAAGAGAAATCAACATAATTACTTCAGTGCGCCACGTATGCGCACTTATATGGCAGTCAACTGGTGGTAGGACCTCTTGGGAGTCCGCACGGGTAGGTACCACCACCCCGCCTATTTCCGCCGTGAAGCAGTAATGCGTTTCGGTTCGAAGGGTGGGGTAGCCGTCGTAACTATACTGAGACCTTAGAACTTATATCTCGAGATGGGTGGCGCATTTACGTTGTACATGTCTATGGGCTCCAGTAACCACTTAACATCAGGCGGGCTGTGAGCTCGTACATCCATCTAAGCAATAAAAAAAATAAAAAGTCAAAGTGCTAAGGTGACCAAGATTGGTTTTAATCGTTATTTTCTATTTCATGAAAAATAAAGTTTTAATATTTACCAAGACCACAGTAAATATGGCAATTGCGTGACTGTCGTCGTAATCATAAATAATTTCCATTCTCTTATCCACCAATATAATAGGGGCATCAGGCACAAACCAACACTTGAAGCAATAAATCGTAATTTAGCGATACTCGATCTTCTTTTAGGAGATGAAATCTCCATTGAAATCGAAGATGTGCATTGTAAGGCAGAAGTGGCTGGGAAAGCGGCTATTAAACATCCTATACTAAATATGACAACAGAATGACTGAATATTATTGATATCGTTCTTCCAATCACGAGTAATAACAAGGAAATCATGTACGTTAACCGTCGTCCATACCTAGAAAAGAGATGAAATTATGACATAAAATTTTTGACAATAAATATTATGATAATAATACGTCTTAAAATTATTATTAAAGAAATACCCGCAGTGGTACTTAAATAACTTAGGCCGTTTTCCAATTACAGCACAAGAGCGTATTATGCGGCATAATGCTCAACTAAGCTTCAGCATAATTCGGCATTGTGCGTCACTGAGACCCATTATGCTCTGTAATTGGAAAACTATCGTTAAGTAATGGTTAATTGCTCTTTCACAGTAAGCGACGATTATTCATCGTCATGAGGTTATTTGCCCATTAACGATACTAAAATCAATAAACTTGAACCTCATAATTAAAATAAAACGGTAAAAAATTCAACATTTCTGGGTTTATAATACTTATTAATAATTATTTATTTTACAAGACTTACGCATCACCAAACCAACCAAAGATAAGTGATCCAACAGTTTCAGAAATCTTGTTGTGTGATAAAATGTTTATTACATAATATTCTTTTTCGCACACCCAATTGTTCTCTGAAGGAATCGTACTTTTGTACCAAGTATTATCGTATCGGTAACGTTGGCAATCTGAAATGTATTTTATTTTGTTTTCATTGGAAGCTATTAAAGAATTAAGGGCTATTTTTTATTATAAGATTTTACAAAATCCATATCCTTTAAAGAAACAAGTTAATTCACATGTGGTGCGCGAAGCAACTGAAATAAAATATACCCTACTTTAATATAACTAGTCAGGTCATAAGTATTGTCACACAGTAAAAACTTTTCTTTTAGAATGCTGTCCACAAAAAAGTTTATTGAATTCGAATTTCGAATTGTTCATGAAAATAAAAATGTATAATTTTAGAATTTTACTCATTTTTAAAATATAAAGTGGACGCTTAAAGAAGACCGTGTTGCAGTTATTGCGTTGCATCGTTGCGGTTACGCGCCAATTCAAATTTTTAACATACTGAAAAATTTGAATATAACCAAAAGATTCGTTTATCGTACCATCAAACGATACAATGAAGACTCTAGTGTAGATGACAGGCCAAGAATTGGTCGCCCTCGGTCTGTTAGGACTCCAACAGTGATAAAAGCTGTGAAGGCGCGAATTCAAAGAAATCCCAAACGTAAGCAGTAACTGTTGGCCCTTCAGATGGGGTTAAGCAGAACCATGGTGAAAAGGGTGTTAAATGAAGACTTAGGGCTTCGGGCATATCGAAGAAAAACAGGACATCGTTTGAATGCTCGTCTAATGGACCTGAGACTGAAGAGATGCCTCGCTTTGTTGAAGCGGTACGCGGGAAAAAAATATCGGGAACTTCTTTTTTCGGATGAAAAAATTTTTACCGTAGAAGAGAGCTACAACAAACAAAATGATAAGGTGTACGCACACAGTAGTGAAGAAGCGAGCAACCGTATTCCGCGTGTCCAACGAGGTCATTTTCCATCCTCGCTCATCGTATGGTTGGGAGTTTCTTATTGGGGCTTAACAGAGGTACATTTTTGTGAGAAAGGTGTAAAAACGAATGCAGTTGTGTATCAAAATACAGTCCTGACGAACCTTGTGGAACCTGTTTCTCATACCATGTTCAATAACAGGCACTGGGTATTCCGAAAAGATTCGGCGCCAGCTCATAAAGCGAAGAGCACACAAGACTGGCTGGCGGCGCGTGAAATCGACTTCATCCGGCACGAAGACTGGCCCTCCTCTAGTCCAGATTTGAATCCGTTAGATTACAAGATATGGCAACACTTTGAGGAAAAGGCGTGCTCAAAGCCTCATCCCAATTTGGAGTCACTCAAGACATCCTTGATTAAGGCAGCCGCCGATATTGACATGGACCTCGTTCGTGCTGCGATAGACGACTGGCCGCGCAGATTGAAGGCCTGTATTCAAAATCACGGAGGTCATTTTGAATAAACTTTAGTGTCATAAGAATCTATGTTTTGTTAAGTTCATTTTGGTATATGAATGGTTACATAATGAATAAACTTGTTTCAATTATTTTACATTAAACATGTGACAGAATTTATGACCTGACTAGGTATTTATATTCATCTAACACCTGTGAACATCTTATGAATCGTGAATATGAAAACCCAAGTTAAATAAACTGCCAGATTTCAAGATATTCTTTAACTTTCTGTATGCAACAAAACTTAAATACCGAGATGTAAATATCATATAATAGATAATTTTACGGTAGTTGTCGCAATAGTCAAATTACGACAAAAAAATAAGCTAAATGTGAATTATTCGAAACGTCGTTGATATTATAGATAAACAACAAAATCAACGAGATCAAACCTAAAAGTACTTCTAATTATGTCTAATTAAGTAACCGTAGAAAATTCTACAGAATATTTTAAAGCAAATTCGTTCAAAAGTCTCTCAATGGATCACGATTCCGATCCGGTGGTAGATTTCGCAAAGCACTGCTCTTGCTAGGGCTAGTGTTAGCAAGTTCTCTAGGTTGAGCCAGTGAACTCACCTACCCGTCTGGGCGTAGCTGGAATAGCCCCATAAGCTACCAGGGAAAAAAATTAATTACTTTTGTTTCTTTGATGTTTTAATAACTTTTGCTAATTGAATACATACACTAAATATGTACTTTCATTTTAATGTCACAACTACCTTTCTATTGGAGATAAGACTGATGTAATTTCAATTCGTACCTGTGATGTTGTTATTTTCGTCATAAATTAAACAATTGCTGAATATTGTCATATTGCCGCCTAACTGATTCCTGCAAAATTAATGAATCAAATACTTAATTACAATTGATATAAAAAAATATAATCTAGATGTTATATAATATTAATACGGGTTTTTGTGTTTTAAATTAAATAGTTTAAGTATACATAATACGTAGGTGTAATCACAACAACAACAAAATGCCATTTTGATAGCGACTGTGCCCACACTAAAATATATTATACTAATTAAAAAATGTATATGTAGTTCTTCTTTCGTAATTTGACAAACTAGGCTTAAGATTTGAACTTATCATTTGCTTCGACCACTGACTACGATTATTCTATTCTGTGTAGACTTTACATGCTATTACATATTTTTAAAATGCTAAATACCTACTTAAAACCGTAAATTTCTGACCAGTTATCAGAATTTTTAATCTTTTCAATCGTATGTACGAGATTAAACTACAATGAATGATGAAAAAGAGAATTGGTATCACTTACTTCGGAACCCACATTTCCTTCCAATCTTCTCTGTTCACATTCTTAGGAGCGTCTGGTATCTCACAAGTATAGGGAATAATCGTCAGGGCCAGAATTATATTGTTAAATGCCATAGACCACAGGCAAGCTAGTGCTACATTGTATAAATAGTCGTATTTTTTTTGATATTTTTCAGTTTTTGTCACTTCGGAAAGAGCTCGATGATATAACGATGGTGTTTCCATTTTTTTCAATGCTCTAACTAAAATTTTAACACTATGTGTACATACTTCAAATGAACGAAATGTACTACTCAACTCTTCAAACTAAATAACTGATAAGAAATAATTGATAATTCATACCATTAATAAACTAAGGTCATAATACATAATAATAGTATTTATCTGGCATACCTACCTAATTTCCAGTGGCGCGGTGTACGTTTTTATAAAAACTTAGTAAGTCGGAGCAAAAAGCGGTAAACTTAGAGAAGAATAAGGCATTAACGATGTCTTCTTGGAACTTTGTAGAGTTTTTGCCTTTAGCCTACTGTTACCATATTTATAATTACTGTGTAGTTTTAGTTCGCAGGGTGTTAGAACTGAATAATAGTTCACAAAAGATTTATAAAGTTTATTTGTACTTTTGTCTCCAATATCTCTCCAAAACTGGTAAGTATGACATAGCTAGTGTCTTGCACAGCCACTTCGATACGGTTAAAAAGGTGGCTTTAAAAAGAGATGTTGATAACTGAGAAGATCATTATATGAAAATGAGAGACATCATGCATTTGCAACAATTCGAGGATAACATCAATAGAACTAAAGAAAATATGTTTCTAAATATAATTCTAAACACAATTTAAACATAAAATTGTTTGTTGATTTTTTGTTGCATTTGATGAATATACGGTACTATTGTATATTATTATTAATTCTCGAGATTTACAGTTGTTTCTCTATTCTGTCTTATAAAATTAACTATAATATTCTCAAAAAAAAGCAATAAATATTTTTCTATAAGCTAAATTATGAAATTGTAGGCAGCGGCTTGGCTCTGCCCCTGGCATTGCTGACGTCCATGAGCGACGGTGACCACTTACCATCAGGTGGGCCGTATGCTCGTCTGCCTACAAAGGTAATAAAAAAAAAAAAAAAAATTATATTAAAATAAATACCTACGATTTAGCTTGCTGAATTGACTGTAATAGGATCTTTTCGTTCTCAGTTAATTTCATCATTATTATATGTACTGGTTTATAAATTTCGTGTGTTGTACATTTATTTATTTGGAAGCATTTATTTGGAAATGAGATATCCCTGCGTTTCTGCCTGACTCTTCTCAGTTGCTCTCCTCTGCATTTCGAATCGATCGTAAATACATGACTATTTAAAAGCATCTACAAAGGCCTAGGTACTTGAATATACCTAAAGCTTTTTGCTTTTCTATTTACCTATGTTAAGATAAGATGTTAAGATAAAGAAGATAAAAATCTCAATAATTCAACCTAAATTTAACTTTCAATATCAGACCATCCAGACCATGGATATCAATACAAATTATAATGAAATATAAATTAGGCTATTCTAGTTTTAAGTGCCTCTCTTTTGTTAAATTCATATGCAACGACCTTTCAACGCTGAGAACGAAAATACAATTTTGTGTTCGTTATTTACTCGTATATAAGACTCCCGCGCACTAGGCAGCCTGGCTGCGGCAGCCAGACGAACATATGGCGTTGTATGGGAGCCCGTGCACATAAGCAGTCCGGAACTCTTGGCTGCGGCAGCCAATACAACGCGCCTGTTGCACGGCAGCCAATTGGCTGCGCGCAGCCAGAGCGAATGTTGGCGAATATATGTGGCTGCCGCATGGAGTTAATAAGTACCTACAATATAAAATATAGTATAAAATAATAAAAAAATAATTTAAAAAAATAGCTGCCGCAGCCTGGCTGCGCAGCCGAAAAGCCTAGTGCGGGGAGCCTTACTGCTTCATTGCGTTTCTATACGTCATCGTCGTGACCTAAATGATATTAAATATCATGTGATGCGAATCAGCCGTTGTTCATATTTTTTTCCTACCTATTCTAGAATCACCTCGAGGGGTCATGCTAGATTCGCCGATCAAGTAGATGAACTCACGGGGCTCTAGCCTGACGTGACGTCAGGTATGAAGTTCAGTGAAAAGTGAATGTGGTGTCAATTGTCCATACAAAATATCTATCATCATCATCAGCCTGCGGCAGTCCACTGCTGAACATAGGCCTCCCCCAAAGCTCGCCACTGAACCCGATCTTCGATAGATGGCGGAATAACCATCAACAAAACCGCTCGGTGCGGAAATCTCCTGGCCGGTAACGGGCAGCAGCATTACCGGTGCAAGGCACCGAGCACTGCGATCGCCAACCCGCCTGCCAAGCGTGGCGATTACGGCATAACCCCCCCTTATGGCAGCTACAAATAAATGAAGAAAATATCTATCAAATACATAAAATTAAAATTTTCTTTTGAAAAATGAAACCATTCCATCAGTATTTTCTTATAACGTTGTCACGTTCAACTATCATCAGTAAACCGACTTTACAGACAACCGATTTTTTTTTACTACTTATTGTAGTGATCTCTAGGGGTCAACACTAAATTCACCCGGCGAGATTCGTCCACAGGTAGGTACTGATTCTGTTTAGGAAAACGTACATAGTTTGCGAAGACCTTTTTTACATGAAGTATTCACGAACAGCTTCTACTATGATTGAATAATAGTGTAGGAAGAATCAAATCCACAAAATGTATTAATTTAACGTTAAAAATACTTTTACGATCACAAGTCTCCCGTGCCCACGAAAACTGTGAAGTATTCGAAAATTCAGAAATCATATATTGACAATAATAAAAACAAGAGATTAAACCGTAATAGTAATTTTAACTACGTTCATGTTTCGCGGAAATCAAAGCAAATATTGCATGAAGTTACACAATTAATGATGGTAGAACGAATTGTAAGCTCGCAATTGTAGGTACCACCTATTTTTGCCACGAATGAATCATGTGCTCTAGCAATTAATACATACAATCCCTCCTGGCTGAGCCCATGCTCGCCTACCTGTCCAGGTGAAACTGGAAAGGCCATCGGGCCACCAGTAATCCTTTCTAAAAAAAACAATGAAAATTACGACTTTATTTTCATAACAAATTAAAGTATGTATGCTATTATTTTTATTCTATTTTTTTCTTATTTAATGGAACTAAAACTTAGTATTAAATAATTAAATTTGTGTTGTATTTGCATATGAAAGAAATCGGCGATAATCAGCTTGGGGAAAAGAGTTTCAGGAAATTTTAAATACCTACTCAATCTAGCAACTCTAAACCGTTTATTGCATAATCTGGACCACAGGTTATTAATTGCATCTCATACATTTTTTAAAGAGATTTTATGGCCTGGTAACTAAGACTTTTAGGTCATATCTTATTTTAATTTATATTCTTATTTTTTTATTATGAAAAATGATAATACGGAGTGAAATGAAATGAAATTAAATTAAATGAAGATGATTAATGACTTTTTCAGTGGACTTTTTGGAGGATCTCGAGAAGTTACGTTCACCGGCTTTGTTTCGTTGTCCCAAATTTGTGCAGTTTCACAGATACTAAACAGTTAATAAACCATCGTTATTGCACATTTAAACCTGAAGAAACACTAAATAGACAAAATGAAACAAATCACACAACTTCACTCTTGGCGTTCCCGCCAAAAAGTCCTAATGTTAATAATATTACACAGACGGCGGCGACTTAGAACTATCAGATATAAAAAAATAACTACCTGTACATAAAGCGAATAACTGTTCCATTTAGGTGAATGAAGTTAGCCCCTCAAAAAATTTTTTTTTCCTATTTTATTCTTATTTTCTATTAATTCGTTTGTTCATCATTTGTTCATGATTGTTCACGGTTAATAATTGTTTGTTCTGCATTTATTTATTTTAAAAAAATATTTAAAAATATACCTACAAGTTAGCCCCTCTAATGCAATTTTTAATATTTTTTCATCCTTAATGACTCGTAAATATTCATTTTCGATTGTTCTTAAATAAAACACGTTTGTTCTCTTTCGAAATTACTCGTTTTTTGTTTAATTTACTATTTTTATTAGTTGAATAAATGTATGCAAAATATGTGTACTGCGCATGCGTCAACTATAATGCTTAAACTTTCTACGCGGTTTTAATCGTGAAAAAAAAACAAATATAAATCCTGAAGGAGCAATTAATTGGTATACAGTTTATTTAAAAAAATTAAAAAATAAATAAATGAAATAATGTGCATTGGCGTTAAGTTAGACCAAATACATTTTTTCCATCCTCCTACTTATTGTTATGAAGGTATAAAAAAGATAGGGAGTTCACATAGGTAATATAAACAAATAAGTAAATATGTTCATTATTTATCTTTCAAGAGGTAATATCGGGATACATTATAATAACTTTTTTACACAGTCGAAATTATATTCCTAACATTAGTAAAATAACATTTTAATACGATAGGTAAGAGGATGGAAAAAATGTATTTGGTCTAACTTAACGCCAATGCACATTATTTCATTTTTTTTTTTTTTTTTTTTTTAATTAAACTGTATACCAATTAATTGCTCCTTCAGGATTTATATTTGTTTTTTTTTCACGATTAAAACCGCGTAGAAAGGTTAGGCATTATAGTTGACGCATGCGCAGTACACATATTTTGCATACATTTATTCAACTAATAAAAATAGTAAATTAAACAAAAAACGAGTAATTTCGAAAGAGAACAAACGTGTTTTATATAAGAACAATCGAAAATGAATATTTACGAGTCATTAAGGATGAAAAAATATTAAAAATTGCATTAGAGGGGCTAACTTGNCGGATCTTCTCAGTGGGTCGCGATTCCGATCCGGTAGTAGATTCATTCGCGAAGCAATTGCTCTTGAGTTGTTAGGTCTCCTTCGGAGGCGCTCGGGCAGTTGTTAGCAAATCCCACCCCTCCTGGCTGAGCCTTTGCTCGCCCACCTGTCCTGGTGAAGCTGGAAAGGCCTCCGGGCCACCAGTAATCTTTCAATCATAAAAAAAAGAAAAAAAAAGGTTATTAATTGCAGCTTATACATTTTTTAAAGAGATTTTATGGCCTGGTAACTAAGACTTTTAGGTCATATCTTATTTTAATTTATATTCTTATTTTTTTATTATGAAAAATGATAATACGGAGTGAAATGAAATGAAATGAAATTAAATTAAATGAAGATGATTAATGACTTTTTCAGTGGACTTTTTGGAGGATCTCGAGAAGTTACGTTCACCGGCTTTGTTTCGTTGTCCCAAATTTGTGCACTTTCACAGATACTAAACAGTTAATAAACCATCGTTATTACACATTTAAACCTGAAGAAACAGTAAATAGACAAAATGAAACAAATCACACAACTTCACTCCTTGCGTTCCCGCCAAAAAGTCGCAGCATAAACTTTAAACAGTGTTTTTTTTAAGAGATTTTATGACCTGGTAACTGAAACCTTTAAGTCATGTCTTATTTTAATTTATATTATTCATATTTGTATGAAAAATGATATTATGGAGTGAAATGAAATGAAGATGATTAATTTGAGACACTAATCAACTGGGATGAAATTAAATGAAATGAATTGAGATGATATGGGATGAAATATAATCTCAGTAAAATGGTGGTCATTTACTAAGATTTTTTCAGTGGACTTTTTGGAGGATCCCTAGAAGCTACGTCCAGCGGCTTTGTTTCATTTTCCCACATTTGTGCACTTTCACAGATATTAAACAGTTAATAAACCACCATTATTACACATTTAAACCCGAAGAAACACTAAATAGACAAAATAAAACAAATCACACAACTTCACTCCTCGCGTTCCCGCCAAAAAGTCCTAATGTTAATAATATTACACAGACGGCGGCGACTTAGAACTATCAGATATAAAAAAAAAAAACTACCTGTCTATACTAATATAATAAAGAGGAAAGATTTGTTTGTTTGTTTCGAATAGGCTCCGAAACTACTGGACCGATTTGAAAAATTCTTTTTCCATTAGAAGCCGACATTGTCCCTGATGAACATAGGCTACATTTTTTTTTTTTTTGGTTTCATGTGTGTTTTAATGTTTCCGAAGCGAAGCGAGGGCGGGTCGCTAGTACATAATAAAGCGAATAACTGTTCCATTTCATTTTATACACAATAGCGCTCATTCCTAGAAAAATAAGGGTATTATCCATGAATACAAGTAGATATATTATATTCTAATTTGAAATATTATGTGTATTATCTATGCAGTCTATGCTAATCTATGGAGGCGCGCGGCGGTTGATTGACTCGACTTGTAGTAGCTTGCCGCCTCCGCGAATTTCTATGGTTATATTCGCGCCTAACATATAAGTATTTATTTATTGTTTAATGTGAATTACATTCCACTATGGGTGCCTATTTATCTGAACCTGTTACTGAAAAAGTGTCCAGCGATGAAGCGAACGATAAACTCGAATGCGGTGCAAGCTCCATGCAAGGATGGCGTGTCAATCAAGAGGTAAGCCTACTCCTGCGATAATCAACTATCCTACGTTGTTTCTTTACATAAATCGTTCTAACACATGTTACTATGATAGCAATCGACTTCATAATGTCTAAGTTCTCTGGATAATTGTTCATAAGCTTGCTAAAAGATTAGTCGTTACATACAATATTTTGTATTGTATGTACGTAGTGTGGACTATGTACATGTACACCTAATGAACTGCACTATGCAATGTACATTTCTAACAGCCAATACTAAATCTGGAATACTGATGCTAAACTTCAATTTCTAATAGTGAAAAGTCCGCGATGACAGTGTCATCTTCCCCGCTTTCTGAAACAAATAGCCAGCATTGCCAACCATTAATGTATATCAAAATGAAAATCATATTTTTTAAGCTAAAAATTGCCTTCAAATTGTGAACATCGTGTACTTAACCTATAAATATTGAATTATTTACTTACATACATTCTTACATACTTGTAACAATTTAATATACAATCACGACAAATATATAAATCCCTTAAAACTAAAACGGCTTAATTTAAATCAATCATTAAGCATAGTATTACCTGTATTTTATATTAATAAGTAAATTTAGTTAACTAATTAAGTAAATGAAGCTAAATAAACTGATTAAATTTTAAATTACCACTTATGCTTGGATAGCCAATGATTAATAAAAACCCATATACACCATAATGTGAATACTTTCAGATACCATGACACATAAGCTTTAAGAGCAGCCAGAATGAATGACTGCTTTGTGACAAACATAAGGTTGTGGATACCACTTTAGTGATACCATCAGTAGTTTTACATTCCTACATTTTGAAATTGTAATTGTGTAATATAAAGACAATTTAAATGAATAAAATAACATTCTTATTAACAGGATGCACATAACACAATTTTGGACTTTGATGTCAATACATCCCTTTTTGCGGTGTATGACGGTCATGGAGGTGCTGAGGTTGCCACATATTGTTCACAAAATCTACCAAACTACATAAAAAACACAGATGCTTATAAAAGTGGAGATTATACAAAAGCCTTAGAAGATGCATTTCTTGGTTTTGATGCAACAATTGCTACAAAAGAAGTTATGGATATCCTCAAAGTATTAGCAGGTGAGTACTTAAAAATTAAATTTTCACCATTGTTATATACTATACAAAACTGTTCAATGTGTTGATGATCTAGCAATATTGGCGTTTGGGAAATATCCATGCCCAGTATTTAATCAGATACCAAAATCACTGGAAGCCTAGTTTTATGAAGATAATGATATGTTTGTGAATTACAGTATGGTTGATTTCCTTTACCAAGAAGGGAGACCTTACACAGAATATGGCACTGAGATAGCTTTATCTATGAGGTGAAATAACTAGGCCTGACCTTAGATAGGTCAATGATATGGAAATCAAATGTGACTTTATAGGATCATTCTTAAGCTACTGAGTATGCACACATACATGCTGCCATAGGAGCTAAGGGTTGGATAAGCCAAGGACAAAGCTACTGACATACAATTCAACACTAAGTAGATATTGGCTTACATGACTATTTTATAAGATAAGGTATTTGCTACACGAGGAAACAAGTATAGTTTGGTTTATTGCAAGTACTAAAACTTGCTTAGGAAGGAGCTTTGGCTTAGATTCCAACTAGAGCAAAATTAATAGTCTTGTGTATGTGTTCTATCAAACAGTGGACAATCAAAGCTCGTAAGCATATAGAAAAATGGGGATAGAACTATTTTATCAACATTACCCTTAAACTATGACCAAAAATGAGATTAATGTATACAATTTATGAAAATTCTGCATGGAAGTGACAGTAACAGTGCATCACATATTCAGTGAGGTTTTGTGAGTGCATTGCTACAGGAAGGTCTTCCAATGTTGTAAAGCAAAATAAATTAAAATCTGAACACTAAAGATCCACAAGGCTGTAAGACTTGATCACCCCAGTCTTTCAAAAACAAAAACAGATGTACAAGTCTTGTCTTTGGACCAAACTTTGAATTTTGTTCAAAAATGTGCAAATAAACATTTAAAAACTATCTCTGTAGTTTTAAAGTGACTAACTCTATCAAAGAATAGCTGATATATAAGCAAATCGAAATTTAATCATTTCAAACATTGATTGAAAAAAATACAAAGTTTATAAGGTTTTTAATTTTTTTGTCAAGGTGAAATAAATCCACCAGGCTCCAGCGACAATGAGGAAGAATCTGATGATGAAAATGTAACCAACTTGTACCAAGAAGCACATCTACCTTTGCAGGTGAGTTATTTCAAAGTTTTCTTGTTTCGAGCTCACTTTAGATATTATATAAATTCACATACACCTTGATTAGAGAACCCATATTATTTTTACATAAGTAAAAGACAAGATATTATTATTCCTTCATTGTGGAATTTGTTCATGAACATAATACAACAACATCACATTTATTTCACATCCCTCACATTATTAACATATCTGCTTGTAGGATTTGATTAGGCATAGTTGCATAGCTTTGTAAGAGAACTCTGACAATCTCTATGCCATTATGAATGAATCACATGTGAGTGATCACAGTACTTAATTTAGCCAGCTAAACACCACCACTAAAACAGACATCAACCCAGCGAAAAGCACAGCAGTGTTATTTCAAAGGGAAAACTCACCGGTTATTTCCTCCCGCATTAGGAGGAGAAATATCACACCCCCGATCACCCTCTTCGGCCAACCTATACCCTGGGCCAGGAAGATCAAGTACCTGGGAGTCACCCTGGATGCATCCATGACATTCCGCCCGCATATAAAAACAGTCCACGACTGTGCCGCATTTATTCTCGGCAGACTATCCCATGATCTGTAAGCGGAGTAAAATGTCCCTTCGGAACAATACAAAACTTGTATAAGGCCCGTCAAGACTTACGTGAGTGTGGTGTTCGCTCACGCGGCCCGCACTCACATAGACACCCTCCAATCCCTACAATCCCGCTTTTGCAGGTTAGCCGTCGGGGCTCCGTGATTCGTGAGGAACGTCGACCTACACGACGACCTGGGCCTCGAAACGATCCGCAAACACATGAAGTCAATGTCGGAACGGTACTTCGATAAGGCTATGCCTCATGATAATCGCCTTATTGTTGCCGCCGCTGACCACACCCCGAATCCTGATTACGCAGGAGCAAGTCACCGTCTTCGCCCTAGACACGTCCTTACGGATCCATCAGATCCAATAACTCTTGCATTAGATACCTTCAGCTCTAACACTAGGAGCAGGCTGAGGAACCTTGGTAACCGTACTCGTCGAACTCGACAAAGAGGTCGACGTGCAACCTAACCCAAGCATCAGCCCGCTGAGTTTCTCGCCGTATCTTCTCAGCGGGTCGCATTCCGATCCGGTAGTAGATTCATTCGCAAAGCAATTGATCTTGAGTTGTTAGGTCTCCTTTGGAGGCGCTCGGCCAGTTGTTAGCAAATCCCACCTCTCCTAGCTGGGCTTTTGCACGCCCACTTGACCTTGTGAAACTGGAAAGGCCTCCAGGCCACTAGTAATCTTACAATCATAAAAAAATACTACCACGAAAACAATGAAAAATATCATTCTGTTTTTTTTTTGACACTAAATAAGCAGACTACAAATTTACATCCATAAGTAATTACCAGGCCCCTGTAGAAATCATGACTTGAAGTAATCTTTAAAAAGGATTTGATGGAATATTTCTGATACATTAATAAAAGAGCCTGTCTTGTCCAAAGATATTGCTTTTTATACATTCTCATGTACCTGCAGGAAACGGCTGTATGTCCAAGAACTCTCATATTTGTCCAATAGTATCCCATTCGGTTTTAAAGCTATTAGATTTATATTCCAAATTTATCATGAAAACATTCATTACACAGGAGGTGTTGGCTAAATATGAAAACAAATTAAGTTCACTTCATCGAAATAGACTTGGAGACACAGCTACGCCACTCTCGCCATGTCTACGTGCCAAGAAGAATGTTGATGAACAGGATGCCGCAGGTCTTTAATTGTTATTGATGACTGTAGATGAAAAAAGTCTATAGATCTTTATGAACTAAATGATTGTTATGTTTTTTTTTTTATTTAAATTACAAATTAGTGAAATTTTTCTTAGTTGTGGATATTGAAATACCGTAAGCAATTGAAAAACAACTTACAATACATATCAGCATTCACTTGTTGTTTTTCACAAAATATCAATAAAGTATATAAGAGCAAATAAATAACTTGAAAAATTACTATAGGTGCCTCCAGTGACTTAGGATTAGGATGCTCATCAGCTGCAGGTTCAAGCTCCGAACAGTCTAATCAAGGAGCTTCATCTAGCAAAAATGGACTTATTGCACAGGAAGATATCAAGATGAACACAGAAGACGACACTGGGGGAGTCTCATCTACAAGTTCCAATGAAAAAGACAAAGAAACAAATGGAGAGGTAATTATCTGTATTTGAACCAGTATGACAGTGAGATTATAAATGCTTACAGTTTTAGTATTATAGTACTAATTATTGATTGTTTCACATTTTCAGGTAAAAATAAAATTTCACAAACATTGTAATGTTGACAAATCTGTGTTCAGGTATATTCCATTCTTGTTTTTATTCCATTTCAGGTATCAACAAGTGACCCAGATACCATTGCAAAAGATCCCATTGCTGTAGAACCTGAGAAAATAAACTCAGCGGCACCAGACAGTTCTGATGACAATTTTCACCAGCCTGAACAAAGTGAAAATATTAAAATCTGTGATGCGGCTCCTAGGAATAGTTCTGATGTTTGCAATGGAGAAGTTTCGGATTCAAAAGAAGCTGAAGGGGAGGACAACAATATTTCATCATCTAATGGATCTGCCACGCCAGTCAAGTCTGGGAAAGCTAAAGGTAAACACAATAGCATTATAACTAATATTTTAAAAATAAATCATGGGTAGTGAAAATGTGCACAGTACATGTTGGCTTAGATTGAATAGTATCAATGTATCAATGATAGTGACAATGTATCAATTTGGTACATTGACTAGCAGCAGAATCATTTGTAATATAGACATGCTGTCAACCTTGATGTTTCCAAATATGTTTGCCCTAATTAAAAAGTAATAAATTTTTATTTTATAAATAATAAAGATCATCATTATGTTAGATAAAACTTCGCCAGTATCAAGTTCTGAAAAAGAAGCTCCAGAAAGACCAAAGAAGGCCAAATTACGACGAGCAGCTGCTGCTGTATATGAATCATTGCTGCTAGAGGCTGAGGAAGATGATGAAAGTGATTCGAATGATGAGACATTTGAAGGAGGTGAAGTTAATTCGTCTGATGAAGAAAATGTGAATGGCAATGAAGATTCTTCCAATGAAGGTAATAATACCAATAAAGAAAATTACAATTTTATTACATGTTTTGTTGGCTACCTGTTGATTTTAATTGTTTGGATGTTTAAAAGTACAAGAAGCTTGCTTAGTAATTGCTATTTTTCTATAAGTATTGCAGTTTTTATTTTTAGGCACCTTAAATGTTTAGATTAAAGATTAAAATAAATTAGAATACTGGCCGAAAAATTCCCTATTTGCCAGTGAATTCCGAAATATATTTTTATAATAAGCTAATAACTTTATATAACAATCTTTTGTGCAGATGGAGTTGAAGAGGAAGATGACGAGGAAGATTATGAAGGTGATTCTAGTGATGAAGAAGGTGAAGAAGATTTGAGCATGACTGAGGAACCTGGTAATGACAGTGGATGTACAGCAGTGGTGGCATTGCTAAGAGGTGAAATTTTTGTCTATTCCTCTATCAATTCTAGACTCATTATGCATAAAGGACATCTCTTTTGTACACAGAAATTTTTTTTCTACTACCATGTCACTTCTCAAAATGAAATGAGATTTTTCAATTGCAATAAAGTTGGGTCTTATTGAACACAATTCAAAGAAACATCAAATTCCATTCCAATAAGTATTCAACTTTTTGAAATAGTGTTATATGTAAACTGTGTTACAGTTCATCTCAATTCCTGTAATATCAAAACTGTGTTTTAGAAGTGCTGTGTTGTATTAGAGATTCCTATACTAAACAGAAACAATTATATTCATTCATAGAATTAAGTGTATGAGGGAATGAAATAGAATATATCTAACCGAAAAGATTACATACAGCATCTGCAATGTCTAAAACCTGTAATTATTGCAATAATATCTTCTGTTCACCATCTTGTAGATCACAACCATATTTTACTGATAAAACAATATTTGAAAATGTTATTTTTATTATATATATTTGATTATTATTCATAATAATAAATTATCTCAACAGGTAATGAGTTATATGTAGCGAACGCAGGCGATTCGCGTTGTATTCTCTGCAGAGATGGCACTGCAATTGATATGTCAATTGATCACAAACCTGAAGACTTGCCAGAACTCGAACGTATAACTAAAGCAGGCGGAAAAGTTTCTAATGACGGTCGAATTAACGGCGGATTAAATCTTTCACGAGCTATTGGCGACCATTCGTACAAGCAAAACAAAGACCTTGGTGCTAAAGAGCAAATGATCACAGCACTACCTGACGTGAAGAAATTATTAATAGATCCAATCAAAGACCAGTTCATGGTTTTAGCTTGTGACGGAATTTGGAATTATATGTCTAGTCAAGATGTTTGCAATTTCATTTTGCCGCGATTGGCAGAAGGCAGGGACAAACTGTCGCAAATATGTGAAGAGGTACGTTAAGAGCTTCTTAAATTTATATAGATAAAAAACCTTTATTACCTATATAGTTGCTAAAAGGATGCGTTCGTAACGGACTTAATCGGGCGCACGATTTATCTTAGATGTAACAGTGAATTTACTATAAAAATGCATCGTTACCCTACTAATCTTTATCATAAGGGAAATCACAAAATGCCAACTTAACAATTTAAATTTTGCTTTAAATTTATTAATATTACATCGACCGCATTCTTTCGGCCGTCGGACAATACTTATCACCACCATACATACTAACAGAATATAAATACAAAGTTCTTGTCAAGTGATTGTAATAAAGATGTATTTGATGATTTATCAGTAATGGTAATCAAAATTTGTTAAAATAATCCTCTTTAGGGAAAATAGTGAAATTACTTTACTATTTATAATTAATTATCTTGATTGCACCCCAATCCCCATTCACATAGTTAGTCCTGATGACGATGCTTTCTAAAAGTACCTACCCGTTTTTTAATTGCTATCAAAAACTGTTAGGGTAAAATTGATGATTAAAATGATTTATTATTGGTTTCGTAAAAACTTCAAAACCCTTAAACATCACGGTGTCTTATTTTTCTTCAATTTTTTTTTTTTGTTTCAGATGTTTGATCACTGTTTAGCACCAAGCACAATGGGAGATGGCACGGGCTGTGATAATATGACAGCTATTATAGTACGATTTAAAGATGGAGCCATTGCTGAAATTGGACAGCATAATAATACCATTGTTTCAAAAAAACGCACAGCTGAAGATGAACCTAGTGAAGAAAACAAACAGGAACCTAAAAGGCAAAAAACCGATGATTCTCTTTCAAGTTCAGTAGTGACTTCAAGTGTTTAAGACTAAGATCTATTAGTGCTGTAACCACACATAGTATTGTGAAATATATCGAAGGGGACTTATAATTTATATTTTACGGAATAGGCATTGTATGTAGTAACTAAGGTTCTTTTACAAAAAAATACAAACTTTTTTTTGTAACATACCCTTTTTTCAGTAACGAATCTCCCTCGGAAGCGATCAGTTAATGTTTGCCACAATTATGTTGCTGATATTAAAACTCAAATAGATATCCATTACAAATTTCATAAATAACAATTCTTTTAAAAATGTACTTTGTGCAGCCAGTTAGTGTAGTGAAATGATGTTCTAGATATTGCTTGTTAAATAGTAATGATCTTAACATAATATATTGAGCTCAATTTAATACAAGCATTAACTTTAAAAATACATTTTACTTCTGCAACTTGTAGTAAAGTATTGTTTAGATCCTTTTCTAAATTTTATAGAACAAAAGTGTGTTGTATGCAGGTTCTGAGGGCAGTATTCCCATAGACAAACATAAAAAAATACTACCTAAATATATTGAGGAAAATGATCTATTTGCTATTGAAAGTATCATTTTATCGGTTTGATACTTTGTGAGTCCACAATGCAAAGCACATCAGCTAATATTGGCTTCCACCTTTGTTAAGGAAGTTCATTTTCCTTTTGGCTTATGGATTGAATGTCTTACACTCTGTGAGTTGTGCCAGTTCTAGTATAATAATAAAAAAGACTTATGGTCTCTTTTATAAATACTTATCAGACCTTTATACATACCTGTGATATAAAGATTTTCACATACTTGAATAACAAATGGTCTTAGCTGGTTTATAAAGCTCCAGTAACTCACTATGAATAAGACCTTAATTTATGTATTATTGGTGAATAATACAAAATAATGTTAAAAGCTTAAATGATAACATATTAAGGCAACTGATGATTAGAGAATACACAATGAGGGAGGAAATTTGCCGGTAATGTTAAATGACATCAGAACTGAATTTTGACTATAGCAATTAGTTTGTAAGCTGTAATTTGTAAGTTTAAAAAAATCAAAATGGTGTAGTAATGTTGAATCAGCTTATACCTGCATGTGGTTATTAAATTGTTGGTTAAATAATCATACACCGGCTGAAATTGTAAAGCATATGAATGTTATCAAATTCATGCTGGAAAAATATTTCGTTCTTTTAAAACTTGACTTGATTTGTGGTATGTTGAGCTGCCCAATTTTTTGTAATTTTTATAAATTATGTTGTGAATAGTCATAATGCGTTTATCTCAATATATAAGCATATTTGAATTAAATTAATGTCAACGTTTACCTGTATCTACATAAAAATAATTCTATAAAAGGGATTGTAACTTAAATTTCATTAATGATTATACATTTTAGTAATAAGTAGTAGTATTTTTGTAATAACGAAGTGTAATAGAGTTTCCTCGTGTAGTACCTTATCAGATATCTATATGACGGATTTGATTTGACAAATTATTGGAAAACCCCAAATTCAGTAGCAAGAGGAGCTAGCTTGTTTTCTTTTCCTGTGTGTTTCAATGAAAATTACACTTTACAGACTGAATTGTAGTTTTATTCAACAATTCAATCCATACATTTATGTCTCGGTAATTATACATTTATAAATATTATAAATTCATTTATAAATGGCGCTTATTAACGCTTATTAAATTTATAAATGTTCTCCCGATATTTACAGGCTGTATTATTCTGTAAATGGAATTCATTATAGTAAGTATAAAACGATTACAACTGATTTTAAGTTTGCTACTGAATTAGTTTCGCTAACCCTACCGCTAGTCTAGTCTAATTCTAGTCAGTTCGCTTAAGCATTTACCTCCACTCTGCCCATTTCTGCTGCGAAATAGTAATGCGTTCGGGTTTGAAGGGTAGGACAGTTAAACTACACAATTGAGATTTGAGACTAAACTAGGGGTGTTAAATAGAGTGATAATAAGTATGACGCAATTAACTTTTATTAAATGCTATTTTCTTTATTTTTCGTCATGGTCCCCTTTCAGGTTTATACACTTGGGATATCTTTTTTTCTAAGCTTAAATTTTTTTTAAATATATTCTTCCTGATCCCACCAGATTGTTTACTTCAGTGATAGGATAATGGCGGCGCGGAGCGAGGCATGAACGCGACTTAATTTAATCATTAAGCGTTGCATTCCGTAACTTGTAAAATCAAAATACTACGGATTTATTATTTAATGTTTGTTGATGAACAGGAAAATTAAAATGATTACAAACTATCGACTGAAGTCTAACTACATTTAACATATAAGCTGAGGGCTCGTAAACTTAAGCGGTGATTTAAAGATAACACATTACGTTATTTTCAAACCCAATGATATTTTGTTAATGATGGTTTGAGAACGCGTTCTGTAACTGAAAATCCATTGCTATAATATCTAACTAATGGTATCAATTCTAAACAAATAAGTAGAGGTAATAATATTATTAGAACTTATACAACCGATTGAAAAGGATATATACTACTAAAAATAACTCTTATTTATTTATTTATTAAAATTAACGTAATTGTGTAAGGTATTCAATTGTTTCCATCTGAGTTGCTTCAAGGATTTGAAGTGTATCGTATTCGCTGTCTATTTGTTCCAATAATGAAGTTTTGTCGTTAATTTCCGCCTGAAAGTGTTGTATTTCTTGTATTCATCAAACTTACGTACAATATTAAAGTTATCAATAAGAGCGATGATAAAAAAAAGCTACATCACAGTAACAGAAGAAATATTCTTTATTTAAATTAACCGGTCAACGGTCACAACTCAGTTTGTCATATGACTCGTCACTAGTGAATAAAATAATTACCTCTCATTATCTTTATAACGACCCTAAGAAAAGAGAACCTAACATAAGTTTCAATATTTTTGATTCTAATTTCTGGATGAGATTAGTTGAAGAGTGACAATAAGCTCATAAAGGCAATGAGTTACTTTCGAATCTTCTCCGCAGGTCGTGATTCCGATCCTATGCGATAAATACCTACACTCGCAGAGCAGATGTCTATGAGCTATTAAACGTCCTTTGGAGTTATTCGAGGAGCTGTTATTAGATTCCATCCGTTCTGACAAAGCCCGTCCATCTTAGTGAAGCTGCGAAGACACCTAAGTCACAGCGCTCCATCGTGTATAAAAAGCAATAAAATCGCGGGTAGATTGACTAAATGCAGCGCTGAGATGCCTTTAATTAAATCAGTGGGCTATCTAGAGCATTAGAAACATGAACCGAATGCATTCGCGGCTAATTCTGGCAAACGATACTAGAAAAACTTCACGCCATAGCCCTACTTAAAGGATGCGATGTCCCGTGCCTGTCCCGGTTCAAGTGAAAACCCCCACGGGACACAACACGTAGAAAAGGGAAATATACGGGCTGGGCTCTGCTGCTAATCCCGTCCGCTGATATTATCAGATGAAGGGAGAAACGTCTGTACAGCATACTGTGTGACTACTGCAAAGCAGAAGATACACAGTTCTCGGAGAGCAAACTCTGCTATGTTGAAGTAATGGAAATATGTCCATGTATGTATGTTGATAAGCTAAGAAAAAAAAAAGAACACAATGGGGTAGTCACAGTATATCCACGTTGCTCGCTGTGACGAATAGGCTTACTTGGAGTGGGGTGGTTTCACTACTCCTTGTGAGCAATAACAAAAGGTTAAAAAAGGGTTTTTTTAAGGATGGAAAATGTCTTCCAAAATTAAAGTAGTCTTATAATATACGGTAAAATGAACTAAAATGATTTGAGTAAAAAGATCTTGAGTAAAAAAGTTTATAAAAGGTAAAGTTTGAGTGCCTGAGCACGAAATTAAATTATTGAAGATATTTTCCAACAAAATTATATAACATTTCATACTTAGTTATTAAATCTATATTTTCGTTTAATTAAATGGCTATCTATAAATTATGGAAAAAGAAAAAGCAAAAGCAATCTTACTTGCAATTTCAGCTGTTCGGATTCCTTATCTTTGGCTATTGATTTTAATAAGTTCATTGCTCCTATTGCAGCCATTTTCTTATTTTCAACATTGTCGCCGAGATCTTTAATTAGATCTAACAGCGAACTTATAATTTTTTCAAAATTTTGCACCTCTGCAATACCGAAAATGGCACAGTTATATTACTAATTAATACATAAATATCACGAGATCGTAGAATTTTCGGTTATTAAATCCAACAATCCGAGTAATCGTACCAGCTCGTACGGTCTTACAATAAACTGAAACATTAATTGATAACGACAACAATAACTAAGTTTAATAAAAACTTGTGTATACATAGAACGTATCCAATGTTTACAGTTGAACTCAGATACCTACTATTTTCGTACTCCTTACAGGTGTCCCTTAAATCTTCAGTATCTTTCAAAACATTCTCCTCAAGAACCTTTATTTTATTGATGTCATCGTAAAATAGGTGAACTTTTTGCAATTCTTCTGCCATAACTGAGTGAATCAATAAAATAATAATAATCAGTAACTAGACACTGTAGTAGTAATTTCACTATAGTTGTAGTAGTACATTAAATAAATTATTGTATTTGTATCCTTCTTTATGATTTGTAACTAAAATCTAAAAGAATACCAATAGCAAATATCAATCTTCTAGTGGTTATTTTTTTTTAAATGTAATGTAATTTTTATAATCTTTACATTTAATGTAGGTATTGTTTGTTTTAGTTGTACTGCTTTTGTTGTCTTAGCAACGTATCGATGTTGGTTAAAACAATATATGGAGTCGTTTTATCAAAACAGTTCTAGATAAATGAGTGCTTTGTACGAAAAGGATTAGTCTTTTTATAGACAGGTATTGTAAAGAAAACAGTATTTTAAAAACGTATTTCACTTTGTGACAGATTTTAAATAATAATTGAACATGTTAAATTAATAATTAAGGGTTAAAGTATGAATTTGCCGATTTGTACTGAAAAATTGAAAAACCTTCTTTTTTTAAATATTTATTTAATCAAAATATCTACCATTATTATCTATACATTGCTGTCATCTAATAGGAAGGTCATTTATGCTTTTGCGATAGAACTCTGGTGATCTAGATTCTACAAACTGAGTGAAAGCATTTTGTACTGCCTCCTGGGAAGAAAACTTTTAATCACGTAGAAAATTGTCCAAATCACGAAAAAGTTATGAGCGGTGCTCTTTTCAGCACCCGCTTTAGCAGAATCAATTTACTGCACTCACCTGCTCCTCGTCTAACTAACCTTTATAATAATCTAGTCAGTAAAGCTAAAAACCTTGACATACCTATTTGGCGATTCCCTTCCAATATTCAGTGTGCTTAGTGCGAGTTTTTTAACATTCTCGATAGCGTAAGAGTTAACCCAATGTTGTATGCAGTTTGAACAGCGCCTCTAGCGGCAAACGATCCCATTCCATACAAATATGAGCTAACTTTTACGCTATCGAGAACGTTAAAAAACTCGCACTAAGCATACAGGAACAAAATTATAAAAAGTTGTTGTTGAACCTCAGCCTCAGCCTTGGTCTAAGTACTCGGGTATTACGGTCCTTGTTGTCTTTCTTTTGTTTTTTTTATTATTATTATTATTAGTATTGTTAAATCTGTTCATATATTAATGTAATGCATGCTGTGATTGCCTCTAATTAGAGTTGCAGCTATCAATAATTGCTCTATACATGTCAATGTTATTTTATGTCTTACTGTAAACCCTGTTGGTAATCCTTAAATAAATAAAATAGTTTACAATTTGCTTAATATGTTCCTTTAAAGTTTATGATAATTTTTTGCCGGGAACGCTAGGAGTGAAGTTGTGTGATTTGTTTTATTTTGTCTATTTGTTTCTTCAGGTTTAAATGTGTACTAATGGTGGCTTATCAACTGTTTAATATCTGTGAAAGTGCACAAATTTGGGAAAATGGAACAAAGCCGCTCGGACATAACTTCTCGGGATCCTCGAAAAAGGTCCACTGAAAAAATCTTAGTAAATGACCACCATTTTACTGAGATTATATTTCATCCCATATCATCTAATTTCATTTCATTTAATTTCATTCCTGTTGATTAATGTCTCAAATTAATCATCTTCATTTCATTTCACTCCATAATATCATTTTTCATAAAGTTATGTATATAAATTAAAATAAGACATGACTTAAAAGTCTCGGTTACCAGGTCATAAAATCCCCTAAAAAAAGTTTATGATAATAAGAATAACAAGGCTTTGTTCATAAAATTGAAGTGAAGATTATGTGATTTAATTATATATAAATACTATTTAATGATTATTTAATGTACCTATATAAGCAGTTAGACAGATCTGTAGACTCTGTAGTGTTTGTTTAATTAAAAAATAACAAGACTTTAATCGTTTCAATTAAATCCGAATTTATGATACCAAATACCCGCTTCATTTATTGCAGTTCTATTGGAATTTAAGTATGTAAATGTTTTCACTTCGTGTTTTCTAATTTCATTATTGTTTTCGGCACTATCCATTGTATGTCCTTGTTAAACTATCAAAAATATTTATTTAGTTACAAGGTGTTTCATTTGTATGTGTAATAGTGCAATATAAACAAAAATGGAGGGCCTAAATCAAAATGAAAAAGTAATATGGTCGTGCTGGGAAGAAAAATCACCTAGAGATGTTGTTAGAGAAGCAGCGGCTAAAGGCACTCATTTAACACTAGCTATCAAATATTTGATGGAAAAAAACAGTTGGAATGAGGAAAGTGCCCGAGATTGGTTTATTGCAGAGGTAATTTTATTTTAGAAAATATATGATATGATCTTACTTTTCTGCATTGAAATTAGCTTTTTACTAATATTTGTAGGTTTTAAATGAATTCTATTTAAGGTAATAGTGTGCAACTTTTTGCTCATTGCATTTTCTGTGTAAGTACTCACTTGAGAAGTGTAACTGTAGCTTTTTCAGACAATTTAATATGTAGGTTCACATATTTAGTTGTACTAAGTACTTGTATGATTAGAGTCCCTCGCATGCTTAATATCAGTTTACTTGCTCATAGAAAGACATTAAGGTATAAGATAAATTTGGTACTATTAAACGAGGGCCTGGAATTTCTATGCCTTAATATTATATAATTTAAATCACAGGTGAAAGTATGGACTGTCCAGTTGCTGTTAAGAAAACAAATATTTAAAGTTCTCCATGTATTAAGCAAAGNTTGTATGATAAGAGTCCCTCGCATGCTTAATATCAGTTTACTTGCTCATAGAAAGACATTAAGGTATAAGATAAATTTGGTACTATTAAACGAGGGCCTGGAATTTCTATGCCTTAATATTATATAATTTAAATCACAGGTGAAAGTATGGACTGTCCAGTTGCTGTTAAGAAAACAAATATTTAAAGTTCTCCATGTATTAAGCAAAGTTAAAATAAACCCAGAAGAACATCTGATGTCTCTTGCTGAAACTTCAAGTGCAATAGAATACAGGGATTTTCTTGTGGAACAATTAGAAAAGATATCAAAAGACATGTTGAGTGAAAACATTCCAAAATGGTTAGAATTCAAGCGACATTGGAATTTACTAAGATATTTAGAAAAGTCATTTCAGATTGATGGCACTTATAAACAGAATAAAGTGTTTGGCACAGGGAAGGATAGAATATTTGTAAATGAGAGTGAAGTGAAAGCATTAACAATAGAAAACATTGAGAAATATCCTGTTTCTTGGAAAACTAAAATTGCAACTGCATTGTTTTTTCAATCATTTGGTTTGTATTGTTTATTTGATACTTGAATGAATTTCGTAGAACTTAATGTGATTTATGTTTTCTTCATGAGATAGACAAATGTACAGTTTTCATGTATATGAGTGTATTGTGAAAAAAAAGGCCAAATCATATATGATTATTTTTAAGATCTGATACTGGCTTGAATCCTAGGTAAGTACTGGTAGTAGGCCATATTCTGAGTCTTTTATTTTAATTGCGTTGAAAAGCAGCCAAGCGTGCAGGACATCTGATAGTAAGCAGTCCTTGCTGCCCATGAGATGGTAATATGTCATGAGAACATATTCTCTCCTTTTTATAATCTTTAAAATTGATGAGTTTGCTCAATAACCATATCAGTAACAAATTGCTGTAATTTTTAGGTAATACAACTAATGGCTAATTATTACTGAAGTCCCGTAACCAAGACTAGTTAATAAAAATGTATATTTTTTTACTTTAATTTTTTTTTGAATAATTGTTACCATGAGTTTTACCATCAGCATTATTTTTCGGAAGCGATAGATCTAGTAGTACTACATCCAGTAATACATAATTGACTTATTTGATTGTGTAAATACTGTGAGTCTGTAAATTAGGTCAGAAAATAAATGTTTCATTACCTACCACAAGATGAGATTTGTGAAAATGTACATTGCGTTTTGTACCATTTAAAATACTATGACTTGTTGAGATAATATCTCAAATGTAAATTCTGTCATGGCAACTTTTTAGAGAGTGTAATTTACTTAAATAATAAGGGTTAAATTAAAAAAATTGTTACATAAAAAAAGTTCTAAAAAAACATGATAAAAAATTTGTCAGAAATTAGTAATTGAACCTTGGCCTCCTCTATGTCGTCATTTTTAGGCTGACGACGATGATGATGTAACTGACGTATCTATAAACTTTTCAGAATTTTCTTTATTGGAATTTTCCTCGCCTGAAGAAATGTGGAGTTATCTTATAGAAAAGAATAAAGCAATGATTTTGATCCGTTGGATAAATGTTCAGCTGTCGGAAGTGGTACGAGACAAGAATGCTCGTTACAATTTTTTCAACAACGAAAGCTTTGTCCAGAAGCTGCTCAATGTTGACACTACTGGCTTCGACACTAAAGTCCTAGAAAATTTGGATGAAATCTTTCGTCATTGGTCGATTACACACGAAATGATAGCCAGCGTGTCCGTAAGCAAATGTTACGCTTACACTAAAATGTGCATTTATGATACACTTTGTTCTTATGGTATTGTAAATGATGACGAACGAGATGATTTGTATCAAATCATTTCGAGACTTGCCCATACTCAGAATTTGAAATTAGTAGATGACATTTTCACGGAATCTTGTTCTACCATAACTAAACAACATTTTTATGTACAGTTGGCAAAGTATTGTGTGAAGAATAAACTGTATAAAGTATTGACTATGTGTGTGGAAGGCCACATTTTAGACACGGACTTGTCCGGTGTGGAGCAGGAAGCAAAGGATTGTATAGAACTTTGGCTGCTATTTAAAAGCATTGAACAAACTTCCGATCGACAAAGTCACGTCCTTCCCGTATACAAGACATGCGAGCAGATAGCCAAAGATAATATTCATGATTACATTACAGCCAATCCTCACCTAGTCCTAGGAATGATTTTGTTGGAGGATTCTACAAAATTGTTTGATATATTTTCCAAAGAGGACTATTTACACTTTACAGATTTTGTTTTGCCAAATAAAATATATAAAGACAAACTTCCTCATTTGCACAGCGTTTACAAAAAATACTCAGATTTGAATCAAATGTATGATTCAAAAGATGTGAATGTGTACCAGCTACTGTCCGGATACAGAGGATTGGACGTTTCAAAAATATTTGAATTCCAATTGATTAACCAGACCACAAACAATCTCTTTGCTGATAAACCTGACAGGCGAAGCCTCGGTAGTCTGCTGTCCAATGATGTAGACGTCAAAGCAGCGTGTATAAAAGCCTTATCTCAAAAAGGAACAGAAATGCCAGACTTTGCAAATGAAAAGCTAATGAAAAGATTTGGCTACGTCGCTAAGTTGAATCACCTGTATTATTTAAAACAGTATCGGCCTTGTAACGCCAGTCAAGCNTTTGCTGATAAACCTGACAGGCGAAGCCTCGGTAGTCTGCTGTCCAATGATGTAGACGTCAAAGCAGCG